TAATTTTGCGATTTACGCATTTTTAATCAAAGAAAAAATCGGGTAATAAATAGCATTGAAAAAAATAATAATATAAAAATATGTCGTAATGGGATATGGAATCCATGGCGATTTGGAATCTCACAATTTTATATAATTCACTGAGGGCCATTTTTAGACGAAATGTGACTTAACCGAAAATGTTTAGCAGCATGTGTAAAATACCGGGCCACAAAAATGTCAGACAATTTTCGCCCATAAACTTTTGTGCATTATTTTTTTTTCTTGATTTATGAAAAATTATATATAAATTGATAGAATTTCAAAAGTTATAGAAAAAAAATGGTCGAAATTCACAGCTGAACATTTTCCCGTTAAATCAGATTTTTCAATTAAAAATCTTTATCCCATTCTTTACGAAATAGATGAACCGCATGCAATTAAAATATTTTCGAGACTCTCTTCTATCAAATTATATCTATAAAGAAAGATAATAAATTCTATGGTTGTAAACACTTTTATATAACATGAGTAGCTGATATCGTCAAATAGCAATATACAAAAATATCGCAAATGGTTACTGAAACAATCTAAATAAACTATTAAATCAGCTTTAAAAGGGTTAATATATCAAAGGGTTCAAACCGGTTCAGATACTTTTTAAAAGGTTATAGGGTGACAAAATTTCAATGTTTAAGATTCGGTTCTTTAAATAATAAAGTTTAATATAGATTTAAAGGTTGGGTTAGCCTGAGGCGTGTTATTTACAAGCTTACCTAGACTCAAAAACATGTTCTAAAAAGGGAGCATGATGTAAGTGAGTCATTATATTTAATAAATAGTTTAAATTTTGGGAAAATTATCATCCAAACATAATTATTTAACATTTCAAAAAATAATCATTTATTTTGGGTGGTTATATTCCAAGTGGAATTAGTTACCGTTACTAGATTATTATTTGAGTCACTTTTCCAAAAAAGTAAATAATAGTCTCTTACTTTAACAACACTTGAAAATTTATTTTAAAAAAATGGAGAAAATAAATCAAGAGATGGGATAAATTTACTATTTATTTTCTTTATAATATTTCGTATTTATAAAAATAGATAAACATTTATTAAATTATCAAAGTTATTGCTGAATAGTTAAATTTAATGCATAACATTAAAACAAAGAATAAAAATAAATTATAGTTTGAGATTTCTTCCTTGAAAGTTGTTTGAAGCGAGTAGCAGATGGGGCCTGGATCTAAAATAAAATTGCATGGACTGTCTCCAAAAAATTTTGATTTAGCAGGTTTCTAATATAGATCTTATATTTCCAAAGATTATTATACAAGTACAAGAAACACACAACCAATCAAAATCTTTATAAGATGTAATAATGAGACATCACGAGTCTCATAAATAGTAATTTTTATTTTTTTAGAAATTTTACCGATTGCTATCCTATTAAAAAAATTTGAATTTTAAACTAAGAACTACACCTTTCAAATTTACGGAAAAAAAGTTATATAGGTTAAAATAGATTTTCTAGTAGAAATTTAACCTTGGCTTTTCAATTATGCTCAATAAGCAAGCAGAAACAATTGCTTTATATTTTTCATATTCCAATCATTTTTTTGCACCAGGTGCCATATTTATTGGCAAAAAAATTATTCAAAAATACTGCAAAAAATAGCACCTAGATAAAGTGAGTCATTATAAATTCGCGAAAAATACTATTTTATTATCATATTAATTCTAAAAATTGAAGAATATTTTTTAAGCACTCCCTTGCATTGCCCTTCCCTCTCAGAAATGAATAAAAAATTATTCTATTTTTTTTTCGTATTTATAATAAGATTTAAAAGTTATAAATTAAATTTATTTTGCTAACATTTCCGTTTTTTTTTCAAATATCTCATATCAAACCAGATTTTGTTTTATCTATTGAACTAAAAAAAACTAACATAATAAAAAAATAACTAAAATTATGAAAGGTATCTTAGTAATTTTAATTTCTATTTTGTCGGTTAACGTATTTTATGATTATTGGAACACCATGTCGATAAATAGCCGGATACTAGAATGCTTAAAATAAAAGGAATCTTCATAAAAAGTTTAATGCCTGATGTAGAATAGTGGGATTGGTATATATTAAATGTAGGCGAAGGTCTGATTCTGGCTAGAGTTTTGCTTTAAATGTATAAGGTTAAATTTCATAATTTTTCAAATTTGCTTTAAGATATATACTTAATCAGCTGCGATTTTTAATTTATTAGGTAGGGTTCGCTTTAAAATAAAAATAATAATATAAAAATGGGGTTTAAAATGCCTTTTTATTCTTACCATGTGACTATTTAACGACATTTTGTATTCCATAACAAAGCCTAATTTTATCGTAAACAGGGTTTCAAACCAAACTATGGAACTGTAATACCTTTTCCGAACCATAAAAAGGCCGTCATTAATAGAAACTCCGAAGGAGAGAACCAAATTTGTAAAAAAATACTTTCCAAACCAATCTGGGTTTTTTAGAATATTTATTTTTAAAATGATTAACATCATTTAAAATTTTAAAAATAAATAGCACAATCATTTGTTATATCTTTATTGATGGTTTATTTTATTTGGTTTTAATATTTTACAAAGCTTTTTATTATATATTTTATAAGGTTAATTATATGGCTCATAAATTTGGGTAACGATGTAGAGCGTTGAATGTTATTGATTCTTTTTATTAAAATATTAGATAGCGTCGTAATTTTATCGCTATATACAAAGAAATGTCATTTTCGAGTAGAGTCTGTGCCTAATTTAGTTGGGTAATGGCAAAATACCGGCTAATTTGGCTTAATCGTCAGAGTCCGTTAACATTAAGGCGTTTTAATTTATATTAGTTTCTTCCAAATTTGATTTACTAACTTTGAAAGAATATCCCTTAGGTTAAAGTGACAGTTTTCGGCTAAAAGATTTCTTAAGCAGCTAAAAATATAGTAACTACTCAACTATTGTGGCAAGTAGTGTTGTTAAACGGCTCGTTTTGAGCCTATTTTTCAAAACGGCTAACTTAATATTTTAGCCAGAAAAATATTGCTTAAGCCACGAGATTTTGATAAAATATGTCTAAACCTTTCTATGAGCAAATTCTTCAGACTTGCGTAATATTTTTCTGGATGAAATATTGAGTAAGCCGTTTTTAAAAGTCGGATCAAAACGAGTCGTTTAACAACACTAGTGTCAAGTCAATGAGCACTGTATCACAAATCAGATAGTTCTGGGTTTTAATTCAGCAAGAGTCAGATTTTTTTATTCTGAAGCCAACTAGATGGTTCTGCTAACTGTCCGTTAATATACATTACAATAAAAAAAGATCTTAGAGCTGTGCCGCTATTTATTATCAGATCGAATCGGCATCGATAGTTAGCGCTTTTAAAAAAATAGCGGATCGGACCGATCTTTTTTAAAGCAGCGATCCAATATTTTTTTTATTGTTTTGGTTATATTATATTTGTATATATAATCATATAATTTTTTTTTATTTTATAAATAATTTCATAATGAAAGGTACAAATACTAAGTTTATAATTTTACACTATTTTTGTTATATTATCTGCAAAAAGAAAATGATTTTAAAATATCTGACGAATCACCATTCAGTTAGTGTTGCTAAACGGCTAGATTTAGCCAATTTTAAAAACGATTAACTCAAAATTTTGGCCAAGAGTAAATTACCCATGCTTATCTTATTGATTGTTTCCACAGATATCAGAAAGGCTTGGACTTCTATTGGCGAAATTTCGAGGGATAGGTAATAATATTTTGTTAAAATTTTGATTTGGTAATAAATCGGCTAAATGGAGCTGTTTAACAACACTACATTCATCCATAAACATTACAAATTTTGGTCATTGTTTAGCAAATAGCTATATGATGACGATATATATTATTACCCCAAAATTATATTATGATCTAAAAAACGGCATGAACAGATAGTTTAAAATGGGATAAACCAATATAAATTTTTTCAAAACCAGAACAGCTAGACCAGAAATGTACTGAAAACTATATATAATGGTTTGACACACCTAATAGTAAGTATAATATTAAGAATGAACAGGTGCTCTTGGATAGCTCTATGTATCTTCATGTATAATATCCTTAAGTAAATCCCATTAAAATCTCAGGTAATGTTTAGGCAGGATTTTTAAAATATGATTTTCTAATAAATCTCAACTTGAGAAATTGGTACCATTTAATATATTATATTTTGTAATATCTTCCTAATTAAAAAAAATGTGAAAATAATTTTATAAAAGAGGAACTATAAATAAATATGAGCTTTTCCAAACTCAATTTCAATGGGATAAAACTGAGATCTTCTAGTAATCCTTCCTTGATTGTTCCTAGGGGCAGCATAAAAAGTGGCAAAAAAGGAAAGCAAATTATAATTATGATTTTTTAAAAAATTGATTAAATCATTACAGGAAATACTAGAATTGTATGACATGAAGCAAACCATAAAGTGAATCCTTTATGCTTTTTAACACATCAAATTTTGCTTAAGGGTGGAAATTATTTTTAAGATTAAAATTCTTCTTATATTTTTATCTTATTTATTTAGATTATTTATGAAAAGAATGTAAAACCATTTAAACCTTATACAAGATAATCATGTGGAAAAATTTTAATGCAAAAATATGAGCCCCATAAATTTTTATTAACCTTTTAACTTATAAAAAAAAATTCTTAACCATATGTGTTTAAATTTTCAATTATATTATGAATAAATATTTATGATTTATTTAGTTGAGCTAAATATATGAACTTAGATCAATAATAATTTCTTAGTTTCTTTATTCCTTCCAATTTATAAACTATTTCCTAGACTTTTAGAATCCACTATTAATATATTTCTTTTTCTTGCCTTTTCTTATATATATATAAATAACAAATTAGGGTCATGAAATAAAATTTTATATACATCATGCAACTATTTATTCTCATGGAAAATAACTAAATTTAAGATGTCAATTTTACCTGATGTTATACAATTATAAAACCATAGGATGAGATGTGGAAGTAAATAATTCATATATTAGTCACGAAAATTTATAGAAGAAATAGAAAATTAATGTATCATAAATAATAGCATTTATTTTTTTTGCATTTACAAAATTTGAAAAAATATAAATATTATTGATAAATAAAATATAAAAAAATCGTTAGCCTAAACCAAAGCGAATGAAAGAAAACGTCAATTCTGACAGACATCAAATCTAACATAGAAATTATTGACATGTTAAATACTATTTTTATAATTAAAATTTCAATTTCAATTTATAATTGTAATTTAAATTTTATAATTCGAATTAATAAACCTAAATTATTTATGATATCGAATATGCCAAATATTGTACCAGTGGTCTGCAAATGGCAAAATTCTCAAGCACAACTCGGTCCGGCGAGAATAGTTTTTGCCCGGTCCTCTGGTATTGATTTTTCCATAAGGTGGACCGGCCGGGTCCGGTTTTTTAATTTTTTAAATACTATGCCTAAACCAAAATAGATGTAGCTGAGCAGCAAAATAAACACCTATTTATAATCTTGGAGAGTTGTTAAATTAAAAACACTATAATTTATGGATTATCTCCAGAGGTAGGGAAATTATTTTGCCAGGTCCGGCATATTAAAATAAATTTAGACGTTGCCGCCGAGCAACAGGCTGGGCCGGATTGTAGAATATTAAATCAAACTGGTTATTAAATACCTCATTTGCGCCAATATTTAGGACTTATAACTTTTATCAGTATCACCAATAACACAAGAACAGATAAAAAATTTTTATAAAGCTGCATCTTAAGCTACCGTATTGATTGTAAAATTTAAGTTAATCTTTAGTTCTTTTAATGCTTTCTAGTACTCTAATATCCCTTTGTTAGATGTAAAAAGGAAAAAAAATATTAGCCAAAAAAGAAATGCCATCATGCCAGACTTGTAATTATTAATGTTACCTTCGAAATATTATTATAAGTTTGTTTAATTAATTTTTTAAATAATATTATATAAATAAGTCATAACGTAATACTTATAAATAAGTCATAACATAATACTCTCCCAATCGTTGGTCACAAAATCAAAAATTAAACTTGCTAAACAAGCCATGATTAATTTAATAAAATATATATATATATGAATAGATATACACCTTCATACTTCTTTCTTTCGTTTATCTCTTTTTTTATTTTCAAATATTTTATTTTTATTTCATCTAATTTGTAAAAGGAAAAGACAGTATTTTTTTTACCTTCCAGGTGGCATCTATAGATAATCAGTTATACACTTCAATTACTATTATTTTATCACATCAATGATACTCTATATATTTAGGTAGTGTTGCTAAAAACCCTATTCGGATCGATTTAAAAATAGCACAATTAAGAGTATAACCAAAATAATATTGTGCAAGCCTGATGATTTTGCTGATAGACGGTAGAAAGATTTGGATTTCTACTTGCCAAATCTTGAGTCTTACACAATAATATTTTGGCTAAGATCTTAATCGGCCATTATTAAAAATCGACCCAAATTGGGCTTTTTAAGAACAATATAAGGTAATGCCTAGTATTACATTTGAGCTAAAAGATCTTTGTGAATAAGAGTTAATGTTGTTCACGACACTTAGAATGCAAAACCTAATGTAAGTATTAAAGTGATTGTATAATTATCTACATAGTGTGATTTTAGTATGTGTCAAAAAAATTTCCTTAACCCCATATAAGCCCAGTGCAATCTCATATACTGTGCCTCTTAATAGCGATCCCATATTTAGTTATATAAGAGCTTTGAATTGTGCTTTCTTTTTTTTCATGGGGAAGTAAAAATTTGAGTTATAGTTTAGCAAAATAACGCTCTATATATAAATGTTTTTGGACCTACATTTAAAACGCGGTACTAACATTATTTGACAATAAAAAAGTAACGCGATATTGCTATTGCCATTTTTCTAAATAGTAGCTCACTATTAGTTACTTTATTTTAGAAAGTAACTTTCTCTCCTTTTAACACTACTTCATGTAAAAAATATAATATATAGTCGCATGAGAATTGGGTTATTTTATCACTTTTTGTAAAAATGACTTTTATACAAAAATCAATTTTTTACCATTATTTACATTAAAAAATTAAAAATATAAAATAACTCAAATTAAAATCCAATAGGTTAACCATCCTATAGAAACAATAGAAACTTAATTCTTTAAATCCTATAAAATTATAAAACTAGAAATAGAATATTCTAATTCTCAGGCGATGATATTTTTTTTATATCTAATCTATGTCCATAAATTAACGTTGCAATATCAAAAATATATGCATTCAATATTTTATCGTATAAAATTATTGATATATTATTATCTACAGGTCTAGCGCCTGGTCAGAGAATATTTTGTCTTGCTAAATTATTGTCGCAATTCAAGGTCAATGTAGTATTTAATTTTTCAAACTTTTTATATTAGGAAAATTATCTAAAATGTTTTATTTGAGTATTTTTAAATTTAAAAATGTGCCAAGACGATTTATTACCGAATGTATCTCGTTGGGTATTAGATTAATCAACACCCTTCAAATCTAAAAGTAGCGAATGAATGTAATTAGTTCGAAATGATTATCGATCAAGGAAATTAGATGAACTGTATGAATTATAAAATGATTATGACTTTTTCAGCCAATTTTTTAACACCTGGTTCAGATGTTGAAGAATATATTAGATTGGATTAAATTTGATTTACTGGATATAGTCTCTTTTAGTACACCAATACTTAGAGATATCTTTCAATCACTGAAATTTTAGGTGTAGACTTGACTTTCTAATTTTAATACAGTAGATAATAATTTATTAAAATTAAGAGAAATGTCTTTGCATATTTTTTATGTTAAATCTGCTTGATTTCTATTATAATGAGATTTACGGATTGTTATGGTTGTATAAATAAATATTGTACGAATTATTTCAAATATTATATTGGCGCAGTCATGGATGTAAATGTAAGTATCAATTTAATCTGATTTTAAACCACTCATCTATTGATTATAAAGAATCTGTTAATAAATAAATCTGTTTACTGCAGTGAATATTATGTTAGTTATCTCTTCATGGCTAGAGAAAGCGATAAGATCATCATCATCTTAAAGTTTTTGCAACAAAGTATAGTTTACTTTTATGTAATCTTAATTACATCCGTAATGTTGTCTTTGTTTCTTTTTTACATTGTATTTTATTGATTAACGTCAGAGACCAGCAAAGGTACTATTTGCATGGCCCGGCCCTTTTAAAATATATTACCTTTATTTTTAATTTTTATAACTAATAGCTATTTAAAAAAATTTTTATTTTAAAATATAGTACCCGGCCATTTATAAAAAAAAGATTTTAGGCCGGGATCATATATAAAAATTAAACACATGCCTGGCTGGGCCTGCAGGTCTCTGATTAATGTTTACGGCTATCTATATTTTACAAAATGGATAGACGAAAAAATGAACCTGACGTCTTGTAGTTTGAAAATAATATTTAATGTTATATCATTTATAAAATCTTAGTTTACATTCTACGATTATTTTAATGTATATGTTAGCGTCATTGTGTTTTTTCGGGCAATGTGTTATTTTTTCAACTTTAAATAATTTTTTGAGCACGTTTTTAAAAGTTAAAAATCTTATTTTACCAGAAATACCTTCTATCATGTTTGGAATGCCTATCTTAAGAATTATAGAGAATTTTGCTGTTAACCTTTAAGTCATTTATAATTTATATAAAAAATAGAATATTTAATATAAATTTTATTAAATTCTAAATTTCATGGCAAAATTCTCTGAAATTTATAGGGTAGGTATTCCAAACATGATGGAATACATTTCGGGTAAAATCAGATTTTTAAATTACGCGCTTTAAATATGATTTAAAGTTGAAAAAATAACAAATTGCCGGAAAAAAACACATTGACGCTAACAATAATGATCAAGCCAAACTACAAGTCAACTTCATCATGGCATAATAATCTTTAGGCAGAAAATATTTTTTAAGGGGCCCAAGGCATATGCATTAGTTTTATTCGGATGCCATGGCTATACTTTTTATTTCTTACTTTCATAAGCAAACCGAAATAAGATAAAATTAAAAGGGACTTATTTCCCCATAAACGCCATACAATAGGCCTGTTTAGTTCGTAGTGTTTTTAGGAAATAATTATCTGCTTTAATCAGGATTTGACACAGGATCCCGTTCTCGGTAAAGTGATTGCCTATATAAGCCTGACAGCATTTTAAAAGAAAGGTTATACTACGTTGCTCCATGTGTTTTATACCTTAAGAATGAGTAACCGATGACACAAAGTTTTCCATTCAAAAAAAGAAAATGATCGATCAAAAGGAGTTGGGTCGATCAAGTAAGGAAGAGTGTCAATCAAAATGGAATCGAAAAAGTTAAAGACCGATCAAAGAAATGAAAAGTTCGGGTCAAAATAGGAAAAGGTCTAAAAAAGATAAATTATATATTTTAAACGGAATTCATTTTCTTTAAAATTTATGTTAATCGGTCAGCTGTTTCCTACAAATATTTCCTAGCATGGTTTCATCTCCGACTAGTGCCAACTTCTATTCTAATTTGGAATGGCTATTTTATAATTAATTTTATAAATGTTTACAGCTGGTATATTAAACTCGAATAGCCTTGGATTTGTATAGGCTTTCACAAAACGAATACTAAATAAACTTCTATCGTATTTAAAGAAATATGTGGAAAAATTTGGAATTGAAAAAACTGTGGACCAAAATGTATTCTGGAATCTTTTTTTCGAGAATAAATTAGTGGGACTTAATTTGGAAGAGAATTATTTATCAAAAAAATTGAATGAAATTTCCTGAAATAAAATCCTTACCTACTTATCAAATTTAAAATTCCAATCCCACTTCTGCTCCTGCCAAAAGCATTTTTAGCATAGCAAATTCAGTTTTAACTACGAAATCTATCTTTCTTATTTTTCGAAAATTTTGTAAAAACTATTATTAAACATTGATATAAATTTTTATTAAAAAATATTATAATTTCTTACTGTTGTTTTATATTTTTACAATTATATGCAAAATAAAAATATGGAATCCAGGCTTGTTAATCGTTCCTTTTAAATGGATCGAATCACTATCTTATAAAAAAAATATGGATAAAAATTTTTTTTTTAAAACATATTTTTTTTCAATAAGGCAATTTTATAAAATACTGAAATGCAAAAAAATAACCCAATAAAAAAAAATAAATTATGTTTATTTATCGTAAATAATACTTTATAACTATTTAACAACTTCACAGTGTCGTCGCAAGATTTATCCAGGGGGAAGGGGGCTTTGACCAAGTCCCGCTCCCGCTTATCAAAATTATGATTAAATATTTTAATATTAAAATTAACATATCAAATATAAAATAAAATAATACAATATTATATAAAAACGGAGGTGGGACTACAAGTTCCCAAAAACATGATTTTTTTATTTATTTTCCGGATTATCGGATTGGCAAGCGACGCTCTAATCGACTAGGCTATGACGCTTTTCCCCAAAATTACGATTTTTTAAACATATATTTTAATTAAATGTGATAGTCTCGATCCAAATAAAATAATTAACAAAATACCGATTGGTTCAACACTGTCTTTGTTTGTATTTAACATTAACCTAGTACCTAGTTTATCAGGAAATATAATTTTTTTTTGATGACAGTGAGGTTGTGAAGACTGTACGCGATAGTTGGGTAAGATGACCAGACCTCGCTAAATTCTCTGAGATATTTTAATTCAACTAAAGTATATCAGGCAATTATTTATTTTTAATATTGAGAAAATTTTTATTTGATAGTAATTTTAAAACTCAAATAAACTCAAGGATAAATAAATTTGAAAAATACTCCCTTTTTTAAGTATACAAAAAATCGCATATATATCATATTAAAAAAAATTGTAATTGGCTGTGGAAATATTAGGACTTTTTTTTAATCTTAATTAAGTTGAGGCATTCGGAGCAGCAAGGAATTACGGCTATTTTATAAGTTATTTGAGGAGTTGTATATTATAATTCAAAATGAGGCTGGCCCTGGGATTTTTTAAAAGCGGCCATATTGATTGTAACAAAAATATTATTATATAAGCCTGGATATTTCTCTCATAAATGGCAGAAAGGTTTGGACATCTATTTGCCAAATCTCGAGGCATACATAATTGTATTTTGGTTAAAATCATGATCGGACAATCAAAATCTTTAACAACACTAGGCTGGAATGTATACTGTATAATTAGATCAAATTTTAAAATAAAGGTGAAAAGGGAATTATTAATTTTAAATTTCAAACCTGAACGAAATTGTGCAGGATGATATGATTGTTATAGATCTTTGTTTTTTCCAGCCTCGTAGCCACTGGGGGCGGGGTCCATGAGGGTAAAATCTACAATTTTTTCAATCCCCTATGGAAATCGCAAAGGGATTATTAGAGGCTGCAGAAAGAAATGTTCAAGATTTTTAAAATATTATTAATATTATATTATGCAAAAAATATCATATTGCCATTAATTAGAATTATATAAATGCTATTCAGCAGTGCTTATCATTGGGGTATCAATAGCATTTTGTGTGACCTCATTTTCTACATTCGATAAGGCTTTATCTTGCACCAGAGAATCAATGAAAGATGAACGAAAACAAAATTTAGTGCTAATGGCTTATGAAACCAACCAAAAAACAGATTTTATTTGATATATTGTTATAATTTAAAAATAAAAATAATTATTTTGAAAGTTCTTAATTGTTTGCTACAAATTAATAAGATATTATGTTTTATTTTAAAATAATATTGGTCAACCCAAATAAACTTTTGCCCCCCCCCCCCTCAAGGAAAATTACTGGTTAAGAGCCATTTTCTTTTCTCATCCATTTATCCCCCTTTTCCATTCTTTAATCACGATTATTTAGTTCTAATCTTTTTCCGATTAGAATTAACTTTTTTTAAATGTATATTTTAATAAAATAAAGATTATATTCAAATTATTATTTACAATTAACAGATTTAAATACTTTGCTACTGGTTTTTAAAAAAATTTAAAAACTTAGATAGATAACCTTTTTGCGTGAAAAGTAAATTGACAATTTAAAGTGTCTATAACAAGCTTAGTGAAAACTTTGAAATTTATATATTTTTAAAAATGCATTTAAATCTATTTATTATTCTCCTTAAGGACATTAAATTTAAATTTAACTCAATTTATAGAATTAGGTATAAATAGTGGAGAATTTGTGTACATCAAATATATTCTCCTTTTTTAAAATCTTTTTTAAAAATAATATTGTGTGATTAATAAATAAGTAATATAATAATATTTAATAGTTTTTATAAATTTATTTAAAAAAATATCGTATATAGCTGAAAGATGTTCAAGTGCATAATTCTCATTAACATAATTCTTGCCTGCTTCGAAGTTATAATTTATTAACATACTTTTCTTTCGATTAATTTGATTAATCCGAAATAAAATATGTAAATGCTTAAAATATGTAAATGCTTAAAATATGTAAATGCTTAAAATATGTAAATGCTTAAAATATGTAAATGCTTAAAATATATTAAATTTTATAATTTTATTTTACATAGTTAGCTGCGACGACCAGTCATGATATAGAGACAGAACGAAAAGCATTTCTTAAGCCTGCAAATAAGATTGCTCTTCCATTAAAGCGGGAACATTCCGAAAAAATTTCGCAGGGAATTCCACAAGACACACGTATTTAAAAAAATAACCCAACAACATAATTAATTTTTTAAATTTCATTCAAAATTATTAGGTCCTCTCCAGCCTAATGCAGATCCAACTGCAAATCCCCAAGAGGGTAGAGGTTATGGTGGTTATGGAGGTTATGGTGGATATGGCGGATATGGGGGCTACGGAGGGTATGGAGGATATGGCAATGGGTACGGAGGCTATGGAGGTTACGGAGGGTATGGAGGATATGGCAATGGATATGGCGGTAGCTACTACAGACCATATTATCCAGGTGGAGGATACTATGGTGGTTACAGGCCTTATTATGGATCTTATGGGTATAGACCTTATGGCGGCTATGGTGGTTATGGCGGCTATGGAGGTTATGGGGGCTATGGTGGTTATGGTCGATCTGCTGGTGCTAATAACCCATTTGCTGTTACTTTCACTATTCCTCCCACTACAAGACGACCATCATAAATTTTTGCACTTATTTTTTAGATTTTAGAACTTAGTTTTTAATACTTTAATACCTTTTTTTTAAAGCTTCAATTTTTATATAATGATAATTTACTTGTACAAAATTAAAATTTATAGAATATCTTTTTAGACATTAAATTTTTTAAAATAAAAAACAGTTAATCACACAAATTTGCATGAGTAATTGGATTGAATTATTAAAATTTTATTATGTACCGAATTCTTTCTCCTCTAGGAAATTCATGGCTACGCCTACTAAATGGGGACGGAGGCAGTGCCGAATTTCGTAAAAACTTTTATAAAGGAAAATATTAACGAAAAATTGTTCATAAAATACAAAAAACGAAAGAAATAATAAAAAGCAAAACCAGGGAACAAAGAAATTTTTTTAGAATCTAAGACTAACTAAATTCTACATGCAAAAGAGACATGCAGGCCCTGCCACCCCGGCCCGTGTAACCGGGCAAGTACTTAATATACCCGGGCCGGAATAACGTGGAAGAAAACCGTGAGATTTTGATTTTTCTTACTTCAAATACACTGGGAGCCATTTAAATTTTCAAAATCTTACGGCTATTCAATATTTCAAAATCTCATGGATATTTTTTAAATATTATATTATGAATTTCAATACGCATAATAGCTTAAATTGTCTTAAATTTAAAATAGATTTAAAATAAATTATGATGTGCAATATAACCACATGATAAATATAATTTTGGATGAAATTTTTATAAAATATAAATTTAAGTTCTTCGTCTATCTTAAGTTCATTTTAGTATTGGTGACCCAATTCAAATAAGTACAAAATAATAAAGAGATGGATTATCTTTAAAATATTATTTTTAAGCATTTAAATTATATCATAGAATAATTTTTGTCGTAACCCAGGATGGCCGACACAATATTTTAATTCTTTTTGAATAATTTGTATTTATATATTTCAAAAAAAACAAAAAATAAGCATTACTAAACCATTTAGGTAGAGATTTTGTTTCTTTGCAGTCAACAAAGGGTGGGTACTGATTTTTAAAGGGAATGGTAGAATTTTAAGGAAGCCTCTAGTAAATTTTCTACATAAAAGCATCTATTGCATACCAATTTTTGCCATTAAATTAATGTCGATCGAGAAGATGTTACCTTGTTTAGGAAATCTGAGGAGGAAATGTTAAGGCGCCTCTGGGTAGTTATAGGGAAGGTGGTCTTCTGTTTTAGGCTTACTTAATCAGGCCCGTTTAAGGGGAAGAGTAGATAAAAATTTTGGGAGTGGCAGTTAAAAAATTTTTAAATGATCATGGAACGAAGATTTTATTCAAAAAAGTCACATATAAAAATATATAATTATTATTTCTTTATAAAATTAGATGGAAGATGAGAATTGACTTATGACTGAAAAGAAATGAGTTGATTTAATGATTTTACAAATAATATGTAATAACATTGATATAGTTAATGTGTTGTATACTTGTTAGGGATTCAATTATAAAATATATGAAATAGAGAAAATATTTATAACTATATTACAAATGATATTATGATCAATGATTGAGCAGTGTGAAATTAATAAAAGTAAAGCTTTAACAATATAATTTTGGTTGAGATATATATTTAAATGCCTTAAAAACATTTCTAAAATCGTTTCAGTATGCTAGTTAAACCAAGTTACCCTTTATTATATGACTAGTCGAACGTTTATCTGATTTAATAATTCTCTTAAATGATGAAAAATTCGACCCATAACTCAACGTGGATAATCTAAACTGATGCTATATATTTGGGAAACATTGCATTTTTGTATGGGTATATATATTTGACAAAATGATGTAATACAATCGTTATAATTTTCTAATCTTTTAACAAATAATTTTTTTAGCAGCCTCAATTTCATTTACTCCTTCCTCTTCAGTAATATTGTTATCCAAAAAATTTTTAATTTATTTATGTGTAGAAAATTAAAGTCATTTGTTAATTAGTTTATATAAAAAAAATGGAAAGATCTTTTGGTCTTAGGAACCCCTTCTTCTATGTATTCTGCAATTATCATGTTTTTCAAGGCCCTCCTTTTCAAGAACTTACTTCCAGTTGGTAAAACCCGTTTTGGTATAGGTTGGTTCCCCATTGTTTACATTATAGATCCTACAAAGAAATCAAAAATCTGCAATTAATTATTCAACACATTCGTATTTATAAAACTTTAAAGAAAATTTTCCTTCTTCATTGTTTTTTAAGTGATGTTGGCCTATTTGCTATTACCTGATTTAGATCAGTTGGTTCTCAAAATATTTGAATAACTAAAAGATCTAATCTCTTCTTTTTGTTTATGGAAGCTCAGCTTATTTTTCTTCTGGACCTTTGGCGCCTTTATCATTTCATTTGCACCCACCAAATTTACTATGGTTAATACGAGCAAAAAGCCTGTCAAGAATGAGAGGTAATCAGAATTTTCTCCTTAATTTGATTAAGAATGAATCAAAAATTTCTCCTTAAATATAGAAAAATTTCTGATTTATCAATCATCAAATAATAGAGAAAGAAAGAAAAGGATTCCCCATCATTAGCACCAGAGCTCCCGTTAGGCAGAATTGCTATTCGCTCACCTCCGAATGAAATGGGAAGCTGGATTTCAGGGTAGGAACGAAAAGAAAAAAAGAATGAAAAAAGAAGAAATAAAAGGGCAAGATATGAATTATAAGAAAATATAATATTGTATTCTTAATGACTTGGCGAATATTGGGTTTATGCATTTGTAGCCAAATAAAAAGAGAAAATAATATAATAAAATTTATAATATCAAAAATTTTACCAAAATGGAGGTTTCAAATATTTTCAAAATTATATCACCATATGTTGCCTTTTATTTGATGATTAAGTTAAGATGTCGTGTTTTTGCTCGTCATAAATCATCGGAATAAGGGTGTATATTAAAAGTATAAAATATAATTTATTGGTACGGATGAGCCTTTTATTTGATGATGAAGATTTGTCTTTTCTTTGCTCAAAATATGTCATAAATCATTTGAAATTTTAATAAAGATGTAAATTAAAAGTATAAAATAGAATTTATATGTCATAAATCATCTTAAATTTTAATAAGGGTAAAAATTGAAAGTATAAAATAGAATTTACTGTTACGCACTGTATCGTCACTAGGGGGGGGCGCAGGGGCTCAAGCTCCTGAAAAATTTGAAGGCCTTCTCAAAATTTTGAATTTTTTCTATACTACTAAAAAAAGGTAAGTTAGCTTAAAAAAAGGTATAGATGCCCCTGATATTGTAAACCACTGACGTCCCTGGTTAAGATGATGAAGATGTTGTATTTACTTTGCTCAAAATAAACATTATAAAAATTAAATTAATTTATATATTCAATAATCAGTTATAGTTGTATTTTTTAAAATATATTATTAATAGATAGTGAAATCCTTTAATATAATTATATTTAAAATAATTAAAATTAAAAATTTCATTCCGCAACTTGGCGTATTACTATTTTATGAAAAAAATCTTAAAATTATTTTTTGCTTTATTATATTTTTAAATCATATTAAATTATTATTAAATAAAGTAAGCCTAACATTTACTATCTCTAAATGAAACGGATTCGAATAAATTTATAGATAAAATTTGGGTATTAAAATAAATTACAATTGATTACGTATACGTATTAATGCTAAAATAATTTTATATTTTTTACTAATGCAATTACATTATACAGATTATTTACAATATTACTATACAATAATATCATTCTCAATTATATAAATAATTGAATACCAGAGAAAAACATTCTAATTAAGTATATTAGATAAATCAAGATTAATAATAAATTTTTATTATATTTGGTAATATTTAATATGCATATGACACAAAATAATATTATACATTGCAATATTAATAATTTTATCGGCAAACGACTTTGTTTTAAATATTATATATAACCCTCCAAAATTGTTTTGGTGAGTAAAATCTGATATAAAACTTCTCTAAATTAATGTTATTATATTTTTAAAATATATTTTATTTATAATGAAATTTAAAAAATATATATCTACTAACAGTAAATAAAATAAACAATAACGAATGGATTGAAAAGAAATATATTATATTCTACATAGTAATTTAAAACAGTAAACGACAACTTGCGGATTGAATATTATTGAAATTTTAATTTTAATAATAATTATTTTTAATATAATTTTATTAAAGAATTTAATCTACCTATTAATAGATTAAAGGAAATACAAATATTAATATCTATTCCTTAATTATTGAATAATATATTGAATAATTTAATTTTTATAACTTTTTAAATCATAAGAAAAAAAATCTCATTCATATCAACAGATAGAGTATATATATAAAATTTCTAGCAACTCGAGTTAAGTCGTGAACACAAATTACGTACTTAAGTTTAGAACTCGAGGACGAATATTTCATAATTTTTTTAGAATTACAATTTAGAATATGGGAAGACTCGCCTAGCTAATTTTTTTGGCAAAAACCAGATATGTAAACCAATCGACAAAAAATAGATCCGGGCTCAGGAGTTCAGTTTAGGGAACATAAAAAAATATTGATTAAAAATAACAATATTTTTTTAATGCTCCATAGAGATCTGCAATCATGGGGCCAGGTCAATAATATTTTTGGTTCGGGGGGCGGGCCTAATATTTTTTTAAAAATTTGGTCGAGCCTTAAGTACGATATTACATTTTGTCAAATAAATTGATATATTTTATAATTCTTGCAAAGAAACAAGATGTTAATATATTTTTATTTGTAGAATATTTTTTCTACAATTAAAAAAACAATTAAATTTTTCTTTATCTAAATAAATGGAGTCCGGGCTGCAAATAATTTTTACTTATATTTCAGGTCGGGTTTTTCGGGACAAATAAAAAAAATTTCATACGGGATCTAACCGAGCTTGAAAAATTAGGTCCGATGCAGGTCACTACTCCGCGTAAATATGCACATAATTTATAAGTAAAAAATTTTAGA